ATATTATATATTTGAGTTGGTATATATATATATACATATATATATATATATACATATATATATATATATACATATATATATATATGTATATATATATATATGTATGTTTTTGTTTCACTTAGTGTGGTCACTATGGCGACGCTCAGAGGCAACCTGGAGATTGTGCACCTACTCCTCCTGGCAAAGGCTGATGCCAATAAGGCCGATGCTGATGACTGCACTCCAATCTGCAAGGCGGCAAGCACAGGGAACACGGATGTGGTGCGATATCTCATGAAGGCTGGAATGCGAAACTTCCAACGCGGCCGCGATGATTGCGCATACCAACTTTGAACTTGACTGGGTTTTACGGCTGTTGTCTTTTGGGATCACTGATACAACTCCTAGAGTAACCCCTCTAGGACCCTAGTATCGACACCACATAATGTGACCTTATTGGGCTTTGGAAGAGAGTCAGAAAATAAACAGCATCTTCTGTCTCGACAGGAGCCCATATCCAACTCGCCTTCGATCCCCAATTTCGCACCCTAAGCCTGTCTAAGCCCTACCAGTAGCCGAAACATTATGGTTTCTGTAGTTTAGTTCCTTGAAGCGGTAGGTCTTTTGGGCCACAGGTAAACCCTACCCCTTCAAGCCCTGGCGAGGCAAGAGCTGATATTAACAAGCCGAACTACATCGGCAGCACCCCTCTGCAGGCGCCACCTTCTGCGACCGAAAAGGATGCATGCTTAGCAAAGCCATAGAAAGCCCTGGGTCCTAAAGGCTGCTTTTAGGGTTAAGGGTTTAGGGTTTAGGGTTTAGGGTTTAGGGTTGCTGGCTCTAGAATTTTTGGTTTGTTGGGGTCCCCGAAGAAAGAATGCGATTAGCTTCGGCTGGAGGTTGAGCGTTCCTAAACCTTCTTGATCCCTAGAATCTAGAAGACATAGCTTTGTTTCTGCCTCCTTATTGTGACCTCCTTACACGTTTTTTTGGGGAGGGGGGTTCAGGCTAAGCCCTCCCTTCGTGATAACCCCAGGTGGCCACCGGATGCACTTTCGGGCAAGTTGTGACGGTGCTCTTGCAGGCCGGCGTGTGTTTTCAGGGTCTGGTATCCTTGAAGCGCGTTTTCCCAGGGGCAGAAGACTACCGAAACGTCAGCATCTCACAAGTAGGTTTTCTGGACTGCCCCTTAGAGGCGCCCTTTCTACTCCAAAGTTAGGATCCTTATGTTTGGGTGCTCCTCTGGGGCTCTGCTGCAAACAAAAGCCAAAGACACTTTCAGGGTTGAGGGAAGTTCATGGTTTCACGGTTTTCGAGGGTTCTTTGGACGAAGGGATTTCAAAGGACGCTCCCACATTTTTTGAGTTTGAGGCTTTCGGGGGTGGAGGGCTTGAGCATTTAGGTTTTGTTTGTGGGTTTAGGGTGTGGGTTTAGGGCTTAAAGTTTAGGGTTTTGCCGATACTCTTGATCCAGTTGGAAAGGCCTCGGCAGATGTCAACAGACCGGATAAGACTGGCTGCAACGCCTTGCACATCGCCACTTGGATGCGCTTAATGCAGGGGCCGAAATAATTACCGATACTATTTTTTTTTTGGGGGGGGGTCCTTATTATAAATATTAATTATGCTATAATGGGCCCCTAAACCCTATTCTAATTCTTGAGGCCCCTATATTAGGGTGTAGAGGGGTCTCGCCCTGCACAATCCCGAGGCTAGCCAGACGGCTGGGGGTTCAGGATTGAGGGCAGTGACTACCGAGCCCTGAATAGCAACCCAAAATGGGCCCCACCGTTTACACTTAAACTCGGCCCCAAGCCGGAACCCATTATGTTCACCCGAAGACCATCTGAGAGCACTTTGAGGCCTGTGGCAGCGGCTTTGTGCACGTGGTGCGACTTCTATTGACATCGAAGATTAACAAAGACAAGCCTGACAAGTGTGGTTTCTGGGCGCTTCTTGCGACATCTTTCCATTTTCGATAGAAATGTTTCCAAAGAGGGGAGACAACTTATTGTTTTTGAAGGGCCTTCCGAAAAAACTCAGGCTTGACCCCGCTTCATATCGCGAGTGGGAGGTGCCTTGCGGAAGTTGTCCGAGTGCTCCTAGAGTATTCTGTCAATGTCAACAAGTCCGACGTTGAGAAGATCACCCCACTTCAGACAGCAGCTGGTAGGGGCTTCGTGGAGATCGTGCGCTTGCTGCTATCGGCCGGAGCCGACGTCAACCTTGCCAATGAGCGTGGCAGTACTCCTTTGCATGAAGCAAGTTGGGGAGGCCACGTGGAGGTGCTCCATGACAAAGGCTCTTCTTCTGATGCATCCGGGGCGTGCCATGTGGCCATCGTTCGCTTGCTGCTTGAGTATCAGGCTGACATAAACTTTTCTGATTCTTGGCATCTGAGTGTGGGACTTAGAACTTCAGGACTCAAGGGTAGGAGTTCCGGATTGAATGCTTGGAAATCAGAATTACGTAAGCAGACTTGAAAGGAAGGTAACCACGGCTCGCATTAGATTGATCTTAGATTGGTTTAGGGTTTAGGGATGGGTTTTGAAACCTTCCGCCGAGGATAACACTGGCAGTACCGCTCTTCATATTGCCTCTGGAAGGGGCTTCCTGGCAGTTGCGCGTCTGCTGGTTTTCGCCCGGGCTGATCTACACAAGCTCAACATGAATAATCGGACACCGATGCAGGTTGCACACACCTGCAACTCCGTAGCTGTTTTCCATCTGCTCGCGAAGGCTGGGCAAGTCTTTAGCAGGGCAAATAGCCGCGCTTGGACTCTGAATCATTGCCAGTGACCGCGCAAATAGGGTTCAGTCCGGTAGCCCGACGTGAGTAGCACTGATGTATGGTCCAGTCTTGTTCCAGCGCTCAGAGAGCGTAGGGCATAAGGCTTTGAGCAAACAGGTTTCAGACCTGATATGCACCTTCGGCACGTAATGCAATGAGCTGCACAAAAGATGTGCGGACCCTCTGCGCTGGCTATAGTCGGGATGGACGAGTAGTACCGGTACTAGCAGGAGTGCAGTAGTCGTGGTCGTCGTCGTCGTAGTCGTGGTCGCAGTCGCAGTCACAGGGTGGTGGTGGTGGTGGTGGTGGTGGTGGTCGTGGTCTTGGTCGTGGTGGTAGTAGTAGTACTAGTACTAGTACTAGTACTAGTACTAGTACTAGTACTAATAGTAGTACTAGTAGTACGAGTAGTACTGGTAGTATTAGTAGTGTGACAACACGCATTCGTGTAAAACACAGCATGATTGTGC